CAGGGTGCCCAGAGAAGCTGTGGCTGCCCCATCCCTGGCAGTGTTCAAGGCCAGGTTGGACACAGGGGCTTGGAGCAATCTGCTCTAGTGAAAGGTGTCCCTGCCTGTGGCAGGGGGTTGGAGCTGGATGAGTTTAAGGTCCCTTCCAACACAATCCAGTCTATGATCCCACTGTGGTTTCTGATGGAGTCACACTGAAGCCCTGCTCTGTTGCTTGGAGGCACAGCCCAGGCCTGGCCACTGTGGGAGCAAAAAGCAAATCATCTCCCACTGCTTTCATATTGCTGTGCAAGGATCTGAACTCAAGGGATGGCTTAGCTGTTCATAACATGGGGTTTGGGCGTTGGAAGTGGGTGAGCACAGTGGCTCACAGCGAGGGTTACCAGCAGCATGGAGGTGGTCTGGCTGTTCAGACAGCTGCTTGTGCCAGTGTTGAGGTTTTAGCTAGCAGATGGAAGAGCTGGATTTGGGCTCTGCTGAGTAAACAAAGGCTGGCTCTTGCTGACTGTGATAAACATCCAGGCTGTGAGACACAAGAGTGCCCAGCAGCAGTGGGGACCCTCTCACTGCTGGACCAATGGCACCATGGCAGCATCATGGAGCCAGAGCATCCCGCTCCTCCTGGCAGTCCTGGTGGCATTGGTGGCCAAACCCAGCCTTTCCAGCACATGTCCTAATGGACTTGGCTCAGTTCAGCATGTCCTCATTGCCCTGCAAAGAGGGAAGCCTCCCAAACTGATACAATGGGTCTCGGCTGTGTTAGGCAGTTTCCTTTCCTCTTAAAGAAGACTGTATCCTTAGAAACTCGGATATCCTCCAGGATATGTGACTGACATCCGCCACTGCCCACTGTGATAGGACTGAGATGTCAATGACACTCACTCATGGTCAAGTTGTGTGAAGAGCTTAAAACCTACAGACAAAATACTTGGTCTGTAGTGAGAAGTTAATGAAATAAGTTTTCTGGCTTCCACCTTTTTCCCAGCACAAATAGCCTAGTGAATAGGCTTGGGTTTTGCATCCCAATGCTGACATTGCCCTGCCTTCCTGAGCTTGGATGTGGCATTACATTTACATCCATGGCAGGACAGAGCCTTGGGTGATGTGCTCTAGTGGAAGGTATCCCTGCCTTGGTCTTAAGGTCCTTTCCAACCCAAACCATTCTATGATTCTATGACTTGCTGCTCTTGTCTCTTTGATCCCACAAGTGAAGTATCTATTGTTTTACCTGAAGGCAACAGCTGAAGCAGGATTACTTTTTGCTGCCAGCCCAGGCCATGATATCTGTGAAGTGCTCTTCCTACCACCTTGGCTCCCAGTGTGTGCTGATGGGAGATGCTGCCCATGCTGTCGTGCCCTTCTATGGACAGGGCATGAATGCAGTAAGTTCACTTATGTCACTTGGGTCCCCACTCTTTTCACACAGAAATGCCTGGTTTTAGAGTGTAGCTCCATAGAGTTCCTGGGCTGGCCTGTCCCGCAGTCTGATGTCCTCTGCATTGGCAGGTATTGAGCTCCCCACCATGCACTTGCCTGCTCACTAGGACCTGGTTTTTCTCCAGGGAGGAGAAGGGATGGGGAGGTTTTGCCACCTTGCCATGGGGCAGAGGACTGGATGGAAGTGGGGTCCAGCAAGGCAGTCCCAGGCTGCTGGGAAAGGCAACCCCTTGGATCTCTCTGCAAGACCTCTGGCAGAGTGGCCTGGAGTCAGGCTCCTGCTCTGAAGCTGTGGTCAGTGAGAGCCTGCATGTGCAAACACCTACACTAGCTAAGCACATGTGAGAGCACTTGTGAATGCGTGGTCTCTTCTGCCTATTCACCCTCTAATCTTCTTCCCAGGGCTTTGAGGATTGTCTGGTCTTTGATGAATTAATGGACCAGTTCCATAATGACCTTGGTGAGTGAGGAGAGCAAGAGCAGAGGAGGATCCCCACTGGATGCTCTGCTAAGGAGCTGCCCATGAGCTGTTGCTTTCTTCTCCCAGGTGCCTGCCTCCCTGAGTTCTCCAGGCTGAGGGTGCCAGATGACCATGCCATCTCGGATTTAGCCATGTACAACTACGTAGAGGTAGGCAAGCTACACCTAGACTTGTGGCTCTGTGAGCCATGCACACGGTGACGCTCTTGTCCTAACAGAGTGCACAAAGCGGGCAGGGTCTCTGGCAAGACTCTGGTTGGGTCCTCATGTGGCAGACTCGAGCATAAGAGCTCCTTGGGAATGCCCCTGGGGCTGGGAGGCTCTGCTCTCTGCAGGCAGCACAACAGCTTGCAGAGATGCCCTGCAAAGGGGTGACTGTTGGTGTCACAGATGCGCGAACACGTGAATTCAACGTGGTTCATCTTCCGAAAGCACGTAGACAACTTCCTCCATGCCCTCATGCCTTCCACCATCGTCCCGCTGTACACCATGGTAAGGCCAGCGCTGCCTGAGCTGCCACCACCTCCTCCTGTGGCTGGCTTTGAGGTGGTGACGGGCTCCTGCCAACCCTCCCAGGTGACCTTCACCAGAATTCGCTACCACGAGGCAATTCAGCGCTGGAAGTGGCAGGAAAAGGTCGGTCAGTGGTGGTGCCGGTCCTTCCTCCCCATGCCATGACCCTCCCGAGCATCCTGCTTTGGTGGTGGGGTAGGTGTGAAGAATTTGCTGCCACAGGTTAGGAGCAAACCTCTGGGTGATGCTGGGGTTTCTCTTTGCACTTGCAGATAATTAATCGAGGGCTCTTTGTCCTCGGGGCAGCAGGACTGGGGGGCACCTACCTCCTCATAAAGCGGCTGTCTCGGGACTTGGGCTTCTGCATGGAAAACTTGTGGGGCTGGTCCCGTTATCTGAAGAATACTGGAAATGTTCCCTTTGGCATACAAGTGGCTTAAATATAAGGGGACGTCCTGGTCATAATAAAAGTGAAGGTATGGATGTTGTTGCTTTGGCATATGGCCTTGCAGGTCCTGCAGCCCCTCTGCCTCCTGCTCCCTTGGGAGAGGTGGTGCTCCTCTTGGTGAGAGGAGCCCATCAGGGCACAGAGTGCCCAGAGAGCATCTAGAGGGGTTCAGATGTGTCTGCCTCATCTCAGCTTTGTCTCAGGTGATGTGGTGTGTCATGGGCTGAGTGTGCATTTTGTGGGCAGTAAGAGGGGGACTCTTCATCACGGACTGTGGTGATAGCACGAGGGGTGATGGGTTCAAACTGAAACAAGGGAAGTTCAGTTAGATATAAGGCAGAAGTTCTTCCCTGTGAGGGTGCTGAGGTGCTGGCACAGGATGCCCAGAGAAGCTGTGGCTGCCCCATCCCTGGCAGTGTTCAAGGCCACGTTGGACACCGGGGCTTGGAGCAACCTGCTCTAGTGGAAGGTGTCCCTGCCCGTGGCAGTGGGTTGGAACTGGATGAGCTTTAAGGTCCTTTCCAAACCAATCCATTCTGGGATTCCATGATTCTGACTGTGTCCCCTCCCAGCCAGCAGAACAGCCACTTGAACTGGTCAAGGTGTCCCACACCATACTGCTGATTTGCATGTGCTCTAGCACATATACTTCTGTCTAACACAGTGACTGATCATAGTTCTTTTGGAAAAAGCCTGGATCTAATTTTCTCCAGTTGTCCCCCAAAGCATGTATATGGCTGTGCTTGTTCTGCACACGCTACACCAGCACTAAAACCTGTGGCTGCTGGCACGTGGTCAGTCTCTTCACATTCAAGTAACAGCCTCTGCCTGGGTTCCAGCAATGGGCATTGCATCCAAGACCTGGTCTGCATCATTTTTGGTTTGCAGAGGATGTAGATGGCAAATGAATGTAGAAGACAGTTTGTTTCTCTGGCCAGCATCTTTGCCAGGCACAATATCTATGGGTGGGAGGTGCTGGCAGCAATGAGGGGGTTTTGCTGTAGTTTCTCCAATGAACACTGCAGTTGATGCCCTTGCACCTGATTCTTAGTAGGACAGATGTATTTATATATTAGTTTTTTATTAACATTAAACCTCTTCAGAGAGCAAATGAAGATGGGACACAACACAGCTGTATGCAAATTATTCCCAAACTTAAAGAAAATATGGAATTGTACCGCTATTTCACAGGAATGACCCCCCCAGTGTAAGAGCAATTAGCTGCTGTGCAAGTACTGAGCTGCAGATTCTCTGGGTCTTTCACACAACTGGCCCTCAGCGTGACTGATGTACTCATAGAGCAGGGAAAAGATCTCACCCTGTGGCCAAACTCGGACACTTTCATGTGCTCAGCACCCATGTTTCATAGTTCAAACAGTTGCTCCTTTGAGTCCTTGTGATGCAGAGGGCTCAAGGCCTGGCAGAGGTAAGCCAAGCTTGCAGGAGTCCAAGCAGAACCTTGTCCGAGGTAGGTCTGACAGGGGAGCAACACGAGATCCAGTGCATGTTGCCCAGCTGCTCTTCACGTCTGGGTACAGGTGCTCGCTGGTCCTTAGGGCCCATCACCTCACTGAAGCCTCCAGAGCAGACCACCAGCCTGCAGGACCCTCCATGTCCAACTCAGTAGTGAGTGCTTCAGACACTAGTGCAAACACAGTGCTGGGGACCAGCACAGCAGAGGAAGGCATGGAGCAGTGTGGGAACAGATCCTACTAGAGCTTAAGGGAAATGACAGGTTTGTAATTCCAGCTCCAAATCAGTGCTGGAAGCACTCTGTGCACTTGGCTGGTTTTGGAGTCAAAAGTCCTGCCAGAGAGTAAAGGTCATCAAGAGCTGAGAGAGGCAGTAACCAGGTACGGGAGCCGTTGCGTGTGCCCGCTGGTGGGACCTGCTCTGCAGTCCCATCAATAGCAAAGCTGTGTCTGTTCCCTTCTCCCAGCTCCACTAACCCAGCTGCACTAGGGCACAGGCATGGCGCAGCCCCTCGGCCAGTGCCTGATGTGCTGATGGCCTCTTGGAAGAAGGGAACAAACTAACAGGATAAAGAAGAGGAGGTCTGAGATTCCTTAGCTTGGCATTTCCTTATTTCAGAGTGGGTGCCAGTGCTGCCGGGTGCTCAGCTTCATTGGTCATTGAACCTGGGGTTCACGACTGTGGTTGTGGCACTCTTGAAGAGGGGGTTATCAGCCTGGAGGGAGAAAGGTGAGAGGCTCAGGTTGTTGGTGGAGTGTTGCCCATCCCACCCACATCCCAACCTCAACAATGCAGACAGCATTGGCAGAAGAGCCCGCAGGCTGCTTCAGCACCCTGTGAAACCATCCAGTCTGTGCCACTGGCCAGTGGGGAGGGTTCAGGTCTACCATGGCTACTTCTGGAGAGGATGTCCCAGATGTCCCAACTGCATGAACCCGAGCGCCCTGGCACACCCCACCAGTACAGATGGGCTCTCTTACATCGTTCCACTTGGCCTTGGACTTCTCTTTTTCGAACCGGCGGTATTCCCGGCGGTCAAACAGTTCCATCAGGAGCCGCCAGATCAGCAGAAGCACCAGGCCGATGAGGGCCACGCCGGCCACGGTGCTACCCACAATCAGCGCGATGTTGGGAGGCTTTGGGCACTCTGTGGGGCAGGCAAATGGTGTCTGACTGCAGCCTCTGGTGAGGCCACTGTGCAGAGGGGCAGGAGCAGCAGGGCTGGGGTACCTTTATCAGGATCCACAGAGACGGTGTATATCTCCTTGCCATCCTCCTGGACCATGCGGAAGGAGATCCAGCAGTTTTGGGAGTCCTTCTCCCTGCACTGCCTGCTCTCCCCTGTCACATTATTGACCACACGGATGTTGGGGCAGGCCTGGGAGCAGTTCTTCTCAAAGGGGCCACTCTCAGAGGCCTTGCACTCCACGCAGGAGCTGCAAAACAGGTCGCCACAGCTCACCTCTGCAGGGACAAGACTCTCACCCTGGCTTTGGCCACGGCTGGGCTCTGCACAAGCACAGCTCTCCTGTGCCTTCCTCCCCAACACCCCTTATGCCATCCCCATGTGCATCACTCACACGTATTTGGCACAGGGCGAGGGGCAGCTGGGGCACTCCTGGCAGAGGGGTGGCTGGTATCCCCCCCAGCACTGGCAGCGGTTGCAGTGGCAGGTCCCGCGGTGGCTGCACTCATTGCCATGCTGGTTCAAGCAGCCTTCTGTTGACTTCTTGCACTGGCAGGCGCTGCCCTGGTACTCAGGAGTGCACTTGCACTCCCCACAGTCACAATTGCCCCGCTCTGCAGGGGAATACTTTTCAGATATGACCAGGATCCTACAGAGAACCAGGTCCCCCTCCCTCTGCCCATGCTTGGAAAGCGTCACCCACCCTGCACTCTCCATTGTACCCTCAATGGGATGGTTGAGAATGTCCTACAGGCTCGTGTGATGGGACCCATGACTCCCAAACATACCCATTTGGGCTTTGGCAGGGAAATCAGCACCTGTTGGAATAGGGTGCCCAAAAGCGATGAATGCCCCATCCCTGGCAGTGTTCAAGGCCACGTTGGACACAGGAGCTTGGAGCAACCTGCTCTAGTGGAAGGTGTCCCTGCCCATGGCAGAGGGTTGGAACTGGGTGAGTTTTAAGGTCCCTTCCAACCCAAACCATTCCATGGTTCTGTGGTTTAATCTTTCCAAGCAGCACCCCAGTGGAGAACCCATCACAGCCACATCACCTTTGCCACCACAGGGAAGGCCGTTGTGGAACTCGCAGTTGACGTTGTCGCACTCACAGAAGGTGCCATAGATCTGCTTGTTGGGCACGTCGCTGGTGTGGCAGAGGCACTGCCCGCACACACAGTCCCCCAGCCCCGAGCAGAGGACTGAGCTGTTGTCCCGCCGGCAGCTGCCCTCCAACTCCTTGCTGCTCTTGCCTTTCGTGTCACACTCGCAGTTCTTCCCTGTGTAGCCTGAATTGCAGCTGCCATCAAAGGAGAGGAGCGAGCCCACGTGAGCGGCCACAAGAAATGATGTGGGGCATGTGCAGGGCCCAGACCTCAGCCAAAGTGGAGCAAATATGGGGCAGCCTCACCAAAACCCAACCGTGGCATGTCAGTGCTACTCCATGCTGGAGCAGGGTGGCTGACTGGGAGGAAACATCAGAAACACTGCTTTTTCCCCCAAGTCCTATTTACAACACCCAACAGTTGTCTGGAAATTATTGTTATACTTTTCATTTCCAAAGCCTTGCCAAGGAGATCTGAGTATTTCCTGAGGAAATCCAGTCTTCTTTCCTCCCCATTACCAAGGGGTTAGGAAGTGCCCTTAAAGATCTGCGTGAACTGCACCCAGGAGTGGGATTTTGAGCGATGTCCACAGAGACCTGTCTCTGCTCACTGGGTGGTTTGGTGGATGGGGGGATAGTTGAACAGATGGGTACATAGCTGGATAGATGAGTGGATGGTTGGATGGATAGGTGGATAGATGGATGAGTGGTGGGTGTGTGGGTGCCCTTAGAAAAGCAGCAGAGGCTCCATCAACAGGAAAGAGTCATTGTGGCCCCCATCTCTCTGAATATAATACACCTCTCTCAATAAGAAAACTGGTGCAAAGCTGCAGAGGCAAGACCTGGGCTTGGCCTGACAGCCCCCTGCAGCAGCTCCCCAGCCCTGGCAGCATTTGGAACAGTGTTCTGTGTGGAGAGCACATACCTGCAGATGCCACAGACAATGCTGCCCTGGCCACTGCAGGCGGCTGGGTCGGGCTGCTCATTGCAGTTGCAGTCACACTTGCTCTCCACGTGGACCGTGAGGGTGTCTGTGAAGCCCAGGGGTCGGATCGTGAAGGACTGGCCTTTGATGCACTCTTTGGCTGTAACCTTCACTCTGAAGGTGACCTAGAAAGTGCAGAGTGAGAAAGGGAAGGGCCAAAGGCCATCAAAGCAGCTTCAGCAACCAGAGGTTGCTGAATCCCGCAGCATTTTGGACATTCTTGGCATTAAATTAATGCGACCGGGAGGCTTGGAACAAGAGGCTGGATTCCTGTTGTTAAACAGGATGGGCATCTGGGACCTGCTGGTTGCAGGGTGTTCCCTGCACAGGAGCATGTACCTCTTCGTTGATCTTGATGTTGTCACACTGCCCTCTTGCTTTGTCCGTGCTTGTGCTTTTAGTGCATAAGGAGTCATATTTGACATCAAGGGTGTCTGGAAGGGTGGAGTGGTCCAGGATGATCAGTGAGGAGAGGTTCTGTGGGGAAATGGTGGTGCAAGTGCCATCAGTCCGAAAAGAGACCAAAGCAAGGGAAGGGAGTGTGGAGTTGCAGGGCAGGGTTTCCCTCCAGCCTAGGAGGTAGGGGCAGGGAGCACTCCACCCTGGGCTCTCAGCTGCCTGGGATGGTTCTGGAGAGGCAGGTAATAGCATTGAAGAGGTGGCAACCTCTTGCTTGCTGTGGGCAGAGGGACTCAGCATGTCTTATATTCAAAGCCCTGGTCCCAGCTGCTGTCCTCTCACAGTGAGGACACACAATGGAAGCCTTTCCTTGCTCTGGGATGGATGAAACACAGCCACCTCTAGCACTTACGTTGTAGGCCACCTGGATGAGTTCAATGATGTTGCTGGAGTCCTCGTTCAGCTCTCCCACTGCCGACTTTGGGATCATCTCACTGAGTTTCTGCAGACAGAGAGCAAAGAGGTGAGTGGTCTCCCTGTGCTGATGGCGGAGCATGGAGGTACCACAGCAACAGAAGGACATGCAGAGCTGCTTTTGTCCTCTTCGGGAGGCAACTGGACCATCTGAAGTCTCCTTACCTTGTAAACATCCACCACCTTACTGGTGACAGCAAAAATGGGCTGAATGTTGTTTTCAGCAAGTTTCTGCACCAGCTGGCCAACAGATGGGTAGTCCTAGGAAGGGAGAGGGATGCCACACTCAGCACGATCTGCCCCACCAACAGAAGGGTGGACAGTTTGGGTTTTGCAGCCCAAATGATGGTGGTTATGGTGACATTGTGGTCTCAGCAACAGGCTTTTTGTGTGACATTATTTATCCTGCCCGAGGGAGCAGGGCTGAGGGTGCAGAGCTGCTGACCATTGGCCTGGTACTTACAAACTCATTGCTTTTCTTGTACATGTTGTCCTCCAAGTGGCACTGACCGTCGTTGGGGGTCAGGATGGCTGCAAGCTTGCCATCCCCAGCGAAGTGGAAGCCATCATCAGTGGCATACACCAGCAAGCGGGTCACGTTGCGCCAGCCAATCAAGTCCTGCAAGTGGCATGAAGACCTGTCCCTGAGCAGAGCTGGGAGGACATGGTATGGCCCTGACCATGTACCATCAGCCACACTATGGGCATGTGGGAGGTAGGTTACAGGAGATCTGCTGTCTTGTAACCCCCAAAGTAACCTGCCCCACTGCTAAATCAAGACTTGGACATGATGAGCTTCCAGAGCCCAGCTGGAAAGGGGAAGAGCACGGGTCACAGACTCACCCCACACACTGCTGCCTGCATCATGGCATCCAGCCCCCCCTCAGGTGCATCCAGGTTTCCTGAGATGAACTGCTTCCCCACTTCGCTCTCGAACTTCTCAGCATCATCGGTCAGTGAGAGGATGTGCTTGAAGGCGAAGGGAGGTTGGCACTGCTTGTCCTTGTAGGGGCAGGGGTTCTTTAGCTTCTCGGGGTGCGTGTTCACAAAGGGCAGCACAGTCTTGTCCACAAAGGAGCCAAACCCTAGGGCATCCAAGACTGCAGCGTCAGGGGCAGCAGGGACCAGCAGGCATGGACAGTCTGCTGGCTCCCATGTCCACATCCCGTGCCCTGGCATGCTCTCCAGCCTGGCAGAGGATGGGTCACACTGCCTGCAGCCTGCATCCCACTCCACGGCTCTTCCCAACAGCAAACAGCCCTTCAAGGATTGGAGACAGGCTCACCTATGCGGCGAGAAGAGGTGGTGCTCTCCAGCGCCCTAAGCAGCTCCCCTCCCAGCTTCTTCACCTTCTCCAGGTCATCCAGCATGGAGTAGGAAAGGTCCATGAGGTAGTAGAGATCAATGGGGTACCCCATGGCACGGCGGAATTTCACCTCGAATACAGCAGGCTGCCCTGCAAGACAGGGATGCAGGATCATCCACTGTGCTGGAGCTCACATCCCACCCCGGCACCCCCCTCCTGCTGGGATCCTCCTTGGTTGCTGAAGAGAAGGGGAGGAAATGTGGGCTGTGAGGTGGGGAAAAGAAATACAAAGGAGGAATAGGAAAGGAAAATAAAAGGAAAGGAAAACGAAAAAAAAAGGAAAGGGAAAAGAGAAAGAAAAGGAAGGGAAAAGAAAGGGAAAGGGGGAAGGAAAAAGAAGGGGAAAGGAAGGGGGAAGGAAAAAGAAGGGGAAAGGAAGGGGGAAGGAAAAAGAAGGGGAAAGGAAGGGGAAAGGGGAAAGGAAGGGGAAAGGGGGAAGGAAGGGGAAAGGGGAAAGGAAGGGGAAAGGGGGAAGGAAAAAGAAAAGGGGAAAGGAAAGCAAATGGGAAAGAGAAAGGAGGGGAAAGGAAAAGAGACACAGAAAGGAGGAGGAAATGTGGTCCCGGCTGAGGCTGGGGATGAGCAGAAGGGCACTGGGAATGCCAGGGAGGCTGTACCTATCCTCAGTTTCAGGTGCACCTCCTGGGGAGTGAGTTGTATGTCGCTGCTCAAGGAGCTGTTCTGCGTGGTTGTAATGTCGTTCACTGGGAACACGATGTCGCTGCTCGGGCACCCCCTCTGCAGCAGCTGCTCCACGGTGTCGCAGCGGATGGAGTCTGGCTCGCCGGCTTTCGTGAAGCTCTGCGTGTTGCAGCATCAGCAGGGAACAAAACCAGAGGAGCAGGAGGTCAGCGGGCTCCTTACCAAATGACCTACCTCCCAAACCACATCTCCACAGAGAAAGGAAGGTCAAAGGGACCTGCCCGTCAGATCCCCATCCACCAGGTAAGACATGAAGCTCTCCCACCATGCAACCCACCCCTCCACTGCAGGCAGAGCTGGGTGTGCAGGGTGACATCTCACTGCCACAGAGCTGACCACACCAGAGGCTACACAGACCTACCAGCTTCTTGCACCAGGCACAGCCAGGACCAGACTGGATGCAGTCCTTGCACATCCCCACCTTGATCTTGGGGCATTCCATGGCAAAGGCTGAAACAGAGAGAAGATGGAGTTGGTGTGGGGGGCATTTGGGCAAGGCTGGTCTGTAGTAGCAGAGCCAGATGACACCCAGCACAGGGCACCCATGTTGTCCTGAGCAAACCGTGCCTATAAAACCCACACTGGAGGCTCTGGCAGGGTCCTCACCTGCTTTGGTGTCCCTCAGCTGGACTAAATGACACAGGGGAGATTGAGATGAGATCTGAGGCAGAAGCTCTTCCCTGGGAGGGTGCTGAGGCGCTGACACAGGGTGCCCAGAGAAGTTGTGGCTGCCCCATCCCTGGCAGTGTTCAAGGCCAGGTTGGACACAGGGGCTTGGAGCAACCTGCTCTAGTGGAAGGTGCCCCTGCCCATGGCAGGGGGTTGGAACTGGACAATCTTTAACTTCTCTTCCAACCCAAACTATTCTACGATTCCATGATTCTAGGTCGAGTTAAGTTCATATCCTGGGAAATACAGGATCTGGTGCTTGCATGCCTCTCAATGCCATGTTCCTGCTGCTGTTGGGCAGCATTTGGGTTCCTCCCCTATTTTGCTGCTGGGAGGAAGGCAGCGAGGAAGCGTAGGGTGGGCTCACCTGTGGTCAGCAGCAGCAGCACCCAGGTCACCATCGACAGCTGGAGGCAGCGGTCACAAGACATCTTCTGCAAGAGAAGCAGCGCATCCCTGTGACCACCTTGTGCACAGTAGCTGCAGGGAAGGGAACCGTGAACCCTACAGAAAGTGGCTGCAGAGGATAGTGACCCCAGGAGGACATTCCACCAGTGTTTCAGAGCATGAGAGAGACCCTGTTCTTCACAAGTACGTTGTCACAGTGCTTGTCCCAGCTGCTCATACTACTCGGTTCTTGCCCTAAAGCACAGCTCCTGAACCCAGAAAATTTGTGCTACTCATGAAGTTGGTTAAGTCACTCTTGGGAAGCAATATGCCAGTGTTCTTGCTGTGGTGCCAATGAGATCATGTTCATTAACACTGCCATTTCTCTTAACACCTTCCCCCCAGAACAACCCTGGAGCAAAACCCAGCCTTGCAACACGGATGCACAAGGGGAAGTGACAAAAGAGGAATCTGTTAAAAGAAGAAAAAGGAATAACAAAGCCTAAAGAAACAACAAACATTGTCCTTATTTAGCAATATTAGACACAACATCGAAAAACCAGGTCATCGGTTTTGAAATAGCCCTGTATGAGTAAACAACCACTCTCTGGCTCCTGCCAACTTCTTCATATGCCATCCCCCATCCTGTGGACCTACTGAATTAACAGCTCAGTAAGAACGGGAATGAGAAAACAGGGAAACTCCAAAAGACACTGAGACATCTGGATGTCCTTTCTTAGCTCATCGGCCTCTGTAAGATACCAGACAACAAAGGATCATAGAATTAACCATGTTGGAAAAGACCTTCGAGATCATCAAGTCCAACCATTACCTCAGCACTGCCAAGACCAGCACTAAACCATGTCACTGAGGGTCTCATCTAGAATCATAGAATCATAGATCAGTCTTGAAAGAAGGTCTGGTCTCCTCCCAAGGGCAGAAAGGTCTAGGTAGGCCAATGGGTGTCATTTCGGTGAGGTTTGGTGGCCAGGTGTAGTATGGAGTTGGAGACGTGGCAGGACCGCTAAGGCTGGTTGCCACCATTGCTTATGGCTGGGGCCATGTGGATGTGAAGGTTTGCAGCCTTGGGGAACCCACTGTGTCCTGGAGCCTGTCCAGCATTGCTCCAGCAGCCTTGTCCTACTCCACAGCTCCACAGGCAGCAAGAGGTGCCTCTGTAATCGCCTGGTCAAACCCTCACAGTGATGTGGCCCAGAAGCTCACCCTGCTGAGTCTGACCCAAGACACCACATGATGGGTGGACAGAGCCCTTCATCACAAAGACACCCTCCACAAGTACCTCCCCTCTACCACCTTGGCAAGAGTTTTAAGGGCATCGTTTACCTTCCCAGCTGCACCATCCCTATCTGTGTTATACACTCCTGATGAGCTTAGCTGGCCCCACATTTGTGTCACCTTCAAATCGTGCCAGCACTGTGTGAGCTTGCAGACAATGGGTAAAAACTCTTAAAGTAAAAAAAGAAACAAAATAAAAGGCCTTAACTTAAGAGTAAAGGCTCTTATCAAGGCAGGGTGGACACTAGATCCTTGTTGGACCCTCCTGGATGCACCTTGCTAGACAATGACTTTTCCCAAATGTGCCTAATTAGGCTCCAGCTCTTCTACAAGCTGTAAGTTCCCAGACAGGCTGTGGGGACCAAACCTGCAGGTGGATGAGCTCCTGCCATCCCACCTGCCCAGTGTTCCCAAGTGTTTAATTCCTGCTGCCATGCCAAGGTGTAGGGCAGCGATGGTGTGGACCAAGGCTCATCTTATAAAATAGAATCATAAGATCCCAGCCCGGTTTGGGTTGAAAGGGACCTTAAAGCTCATCCAGTTCCAACCCCTGCCATGGGCAGGGACACCTTCCACTAGAGCAGGTTGCTCCAAGCCCCTGTGTCCAACCTGGCCTTGAACACTGCCAGGGATGGGGCAAGTTTCCAATAGGAACTTGATTTAAGAAATCACTCAAACCCCAGAAATAAAGTGGAAACCTCCACATAAGCCAGCTCTGGCTCCTGTTGAGTTTTGTAATGCAGGGTGCATGTTGTTGGCTGGATTTGGTTGCCTTTCTAAACCCCAAAGTCGTTTCTTTCTCTTGTTGCAAGAAGGTAAACCACACAGCCTGGTAGTAGTGGTGAGCAGCAGAAGAAACCTCACCACTTCTTTCCTTTTGCTGTGGAGGGAAATTGCTCACTGGTATGTGGGTGGCTGAGCATATATGTGACGTAGGGTGACCTTCAAAGAGAGCAAATAGGGCTTCTGCTTTCGTCTGCCTCCTTATGGTGTTCAGGGCTGGAGAAAGCATGTTTTCACTCTGACTCTGCATTAGCAGGGCCCACACATAGGCCTCAGCAGCATTTTCTCCAACTGTCTTGATGGGGACTCCTCTCCTGGATGTGCTCTGCCTGAGATGCTGGGTTTTCTCCCTCTTTTTCATGTATCGAGGCAAGCAGAGGGATGCACATAGTCCATCCTTCTGCCCTGGTGTGAAGAAGCAGAACTGCGGAGCTTTACTTCACTCCAGGCTGGGGATGGAGGTGCTGAGACTGAGCACCCCAGCTAAGGACAGGGCATGGTGCTACCAGGCTCTGGTACCTGGCCAGGGCTGCATGGTGGCATGGGGGGAGAAGGGTCCTCCTTGGCCCTGAGCTCTGATCTTTGTGTCACATGCCTTGGGCAGCTTGGGACTGGCTCTGCTCCACCAGGAGTCCTCTGCAGAAGCCACCAGGGTTTTCCACCTGTGGAGCATCTCTCACTTGCTGTATATTATATACTTGGCATGGCTCAGGCAGGGTAAGGTTCTCCTGAAGGGTCTGTGACAAAGAAAATGTGAAGGCAGCCTCAAGGGAAGGTGCTGAACATCCAGTGGGATGGAGCACACTGCTGCACAGCATGGAGCAGAGAGTTGGGATGTATAAAGAGGGCTGAAGGGGAAGTGTGGATGTTAGTGGCAATCCTGTTGCTGTAAATGAGTGTTCAACAGCAGAGACAGGTCTTGCAGTCTGTTAGCCACAACCCCCTTCTGTGCTTTGCTAAACATCTGTTTTCCTGTACAATGGGAGGATGCACTCTCATGCCCAGTATCCCAGGACTTCTGGGGCATTTAGAGCTGCTGGAGCGAGGCCACGAAGATGCTGTGAGGGCTGGAGCAGCTCTGCTCTGGAGCCAGGCTGAGAGAGCTGGGCTGGGGCAGCCTGGAGAAGAGAAGGCTCCTGAAGGGGACACCTTAGAGCAGCTCCAGTGCCTAAAGGGGCTCCAGGAAACCTGGAGAGGGGCTTTGGACAAGGGCCTGTAGGGACAGGACAAGGGGAATGGCTTTAACGGGCCAGAGGGGAGACTGAGATGAGCTCTGAGGCAGAAGTTCTTCCCTGTGAGGGTGCTGAGGCGCTGGCACAGGGTGCCCAGAGAAGCTGTGGCTGCCCCATCCCTGGCAGTGTTCAAGGCCAGGTTGGACACAGGGGCTTGGAGCAACCTGCTCTAGTGGAAGGTGTCCCTGCCCGTGGCAGGGGGTTGGTGCAGGGTGAGCTTTGAGGTCCCTTCTAACACAAACCAGTCTGGGATTTTTAAGAGCAGAGAAGCCCTTTCTTGGGTCTCATCTCCAGTGGGTATCACCCTTTGGCTGATCCCAGTGGGGACGCTGTGACAGCTGCTGGGTTTGCAGAGATGCAGGACAGAGCCCTGGGCCTGAGCAGGGACCCAGATATCTGCCCAAGAGCACAGCCTGTCCCCTGGAGCTGGCAGAGCTCATGCTTCCTGAGAGCAAAGGAAGGATCTTCTATCACCACCAGCCCTGTGATGACCTGATTATGTCTGTCCCTGAGAAAATAATTCACCCGGCGCCACACTCTCTGGCGCTTAGATCGCCTGTGACAGAACAGCAGCAGGATAAGGACACAAAAAGTGCAAAACCAATGTGTGAAGCAGGATGTGAGAGCCATGACAGCAAAATGCACTGCTTAAAGCCTTCCCACACCTTGCAGGAGCCACACAGCAGCACCCACGCTGGCTGCAGGGTGCAACGCCTCTTCTTGTGTTCACACACTGCTTCCTGCCTGGCTGGGAGGACATGACCTGGGGCTGTGGTGTTGGAAAAAGCATCCAGTATAGATGCTAGGCTGCTTTCCTGGACCCCTGGGTTGTGCCTTGCATTCTGTCTGCATCCAAGAGCCATGGAGATCTTGGGAAGGACCTGCTCTCCCTGGGGTTAGCTTGCCTAAAGCCTCTGCTGCCTTCCCTACTGCTGCTTTCAATGGTTGTCAGCAGGGTATTTCATGTGTACAGCACACAGAGATGGAGGAGAGTAGCGAGGGTCTCATCCCTTCTCCTACCTCTTCTTGCATGCCCACAGGGGTGCAGGGACCTTCACTGCTGGTGGTGGCACCACACCAAGCCCCCCTCATGCCATGTCACCGCGCTGCTTCCCTCTTCCCCTCTGAGCTGTCACATCCTGCAGCTGATGGCAGGTGCCTTTATGGGATCCCACGAGGAAGAGGGACGGGAGAGGGATGGGAGAGGGATGGGAGAGGAACCAGGGCAGTCCCCAGCCCTGGTTCTCACCTGGTGCTGCTGGTGGGCACACAGGCAGCGCTGCTCTCCCCAGTGCCATGTGTGAGGGTGACAGCAGAGCACGCTGCACCCTCTCTGCTTGCTTTCCAGGCCAATGGGGTGGTGAGGAAGGAGTTGTTTGGGGTCTGCAGTTCCATGCTTAATCGTACCCCCAAAACCATTACAGCCCGGGGAAGCTGCCTTTGCAAAGGCTGTGTAAAGCAACGGCCACACCACGCTGAACTCCCAAAGCCCACCTAAGTAGCCAGAGGTTAGATCAGGAATTATCAACCAAATTCACTGGAAACTCTGAAAGCACCTTGTCGCCTGGCTGCCTCCCCCAGAGAAAGAAGGAACAGAAGCAAAGAAATGCAGATGCTGTACTTGCCTTGCATCAAGCCCTCTCCTCTGTCCTGTGCTTCAGCTGGGATAGGGATGGTCTCAGCTTCTCAAGCTTGGCTGGGAAAAGCAGGGGGGCACCGGGAGCTTGCAATGC